GCAAGCTCCTTTCCTATCTGGCTCACTCATGAATCCACAGTGCTGAACTCAAGGCCTGGGACTTCTGTAGGAGGCACTGAAAAGGTTACTGAGTCTACAATCAAGAGAAATAAAACTGGAAGTTAGGGATAGAATGCATCTGTGTAGATACTGTACATAATAATACAGCATCTTTCTAGAGTTGAAAAGGGCTCTAGAGACCATGTAGATGTTCCATGGCTTTTCCAGATGAGGGAAATTCAAAGTTCAACCATTTGTCTGAAGATCTGGGGCTATTAAAGTGCAGAAATCAGATTCAAATTCAGTTCTGCCAGTTTCCAAACAATATTGCTTTTACCTCCTCCATGTGGCTCCTTGACCAGTCCACGGCCACAGAAGGCAGAGAAACTAGACACTAAAGGACACATACTGTGTGAGTCCACTGAAATGCAATATCCAGAATAGGTAATTTTATAGAGACCGAAAACAAATTAGAGGCTAGGGGAGGGAGAGATGGGAGTTATTACTTACTGATGAGAGTATTTTGGGGAAATGATAACAAAGTTTGGATATCCAGTGGTATTATCGCCCAACATTGTGAGTATCCTTAATGCCACTGAATCCTACACTTAAAAAGATTAAAAAAATAAATTTTGTGTTACATCTATTTTACCCAACTTGAAAAAAAAAAAAAGGATCATAGTAGCTGTGGAATTCTCTTACTTAACTCTCCAGGCCATTTGTGGAATGTGGATAGGGTCTTTAATGGAACACATTTTTAAGAAGTCATTGTAAGAAAGGTGTAAAAACAGGCAGAAACAAATGCATGACATGGCACCATCAAATTAACAGTGACACGTCTCTATTATTAACCCACAATTTCTCAACAAATTAAAATCTATAAGCTGGTACTGGAAAAATGCCAGTTTCTATAAGCTACTTAACTTTTCTGCAGAGGGTGTAAAATAACTGTGAAAACCATAAAGGATACCATATGGCCCCCAAGAAAGGGGAAAACGGAGTTCTTTTTTGTGTTTTTTGTTACTCAATGAACAATTAGTCCTCTGTTCTCCTAAAAAATAATAATAAAGTGCCATTAGAGAAAAATTCCAAAATTCTCAAGAAGACATATCCAAAATGGAAATAACGTGAAAAGATAAATAAAATAAGCATTCATTTGCTATATTTGGTGGAATCCTGCAGAGAGAAGAATTCCAGCTAGGCAGCATTGAGACATAGTTTATTAATGCAGTTTCCCCCACAGCAGGACACAGAAAGAGAAACTGGTAAAACAGTCACATTAAAAAATTATGACTCTTACGTCTGATCTTTATGAATACACAGAAAAGAAACTGTCCTCTTGAGTCGTCCTTGGGCTGTGTTGAAGCTGAGAAACAAAGAATTATTATTATTATTTTACTATAAAGCATTAGTTGCCCACATGTGGTTGGAACAGTCTGAACGTTACTTCCCATATTTAAGGTATTTTTAGAGTATTTGTAAAAAGACTCTATTTTCCAGTACCAGCTTATAGATTCTCCCAATTACATTTTGAATAACACACTTTAGTCTTGTTTTTAGAGTATACAAAATCGAACCCTGTTTGTAGTCTCTTCAGAGAAAAATTGTCGTGGGTGGTAAACTGGTTGTAAATGGAATTTCCCTAGAGCCTGAGAGCTGGAAGGGAGCTTGCTGATTATCTGACCCAGTGTTTTGCATAATACAGGCTATGCCCTACTGATGAATTATAAGTCAATTTGTAGGGTCACCATTAGCATTAGGAAGTAGAGGAAGAGTTGGAATAGAGTAAAATTGGATAAAAGAAAAATTGTGTAACACACCCATTTGTTTCAATTATGTGAGTGTGCATGTCCTGGGTTACAATGTAAAGTATGTGTCATACTGTGGGTTCTGGCCTGAAAATTGGAAATTACCAATCTAATCAAACACCTTCCTTTCCCAGGTGGGACAACTGGAGCCAGAGAGGGGAAGTGAATGACTTTTGCATCATATAATTAGTCAGAAGTAGCCTGGGTCTCGGGCTCCCAGTATCCTTTCCACCATACTCTACTCTTCACAATAAGCTTGGAGGTGGATGTCTACCCTTGCCCTAGGGGTTTCTTTACCACATTGGCAGTAGTATTCTATTCTATTTTGGAGCGTTTCCTGTCCTTCCAAATCAACCGGGCTCCCTTTCCTCCTTCTCTAATGCTCCTGCCACCCTTCTACCATTTTGGAATCAGTGGTTCTGTGGAATGGAACACGTGCGTAGAGGGGGCAAATGATCAGTGCCCAGGTTTGGATGATCCGTGACTCACGGATAACTCACAATGGCTCAGGAGGTTGCGAAATTCCATAGCTCACTACTCCCTGAAGCTGTTGAACTTCATGAGAATGAAAATTACAACCTCCCTGTGAAAAAGAGGGTGGTACATAGACGACTCCCATAAAGGGCATTTTCAGAAACAAGACAACCAGCTGACAACTTTAGGATCTAGGTAATTCTTGCCAGATCCACACACTCTGGCTGGTCTTCCTGAGCCAAAACAGAAGCATGGAGAAAGTGTTCTATAACAGCAGTGATAGAGCTGGATTGTGAAAGAGGATCCTGCCTGGAACTCCAGGTGCCTCTGGTTTTGACTTAGGGGAGAAATGATCTGTCCCACCAATAAATATTTATATTGTATCTACCATGTGCCAGGCACTATTTTGAGAATAATTATAAATATTTACTCATTTAATCCATATAATCAACCTCTAGGTTTTAGAGGACTTGCCTAGCAGCAGTTGTAGCCAGAAGGTTGAAAAGTGTTGAGATGTGTTAAAATAATTTGTTTTTCTTTCTGATTTGAAGACAGGAGGGTGAGCATGTTTAATAGAGTTTAGAACTGTGTCATTGACAGAGGGAATTAATCAACAGTCAAATCCAGGGAGAAAAGGTCAACTGCCTACTTTCTCTTGGCAGAAGGAATTAGGAAGAGGATTGTTCTTGCAAAGATTCATCACTGTTTGATGCTTTCCAGAAGTGGTGATGGATTTGCAAGGAACCATCTCCTTTCTCTCTCTCTTAAATCTCCCTCATATATTTGCACTATAGCTACCCCAGTGCTTGGGGTCTGGTTGGGTTCTGAAACCACCCACGTAAGCCAGTGTGGAAATCAAACCTGTTCCCTTGGCTTAATGAACCAGTCCCTTCCATAACTCGGGAAGAAGGTCCTTAATAAATACTTTATTGGATTAATTTATTAATACAGGTCTAAAGCTGATCCCGGTCTTAGAGAAACAGCTAGATTTGGTTTTGATGAAGAACATTAGTAGAAGTTTATTGAACTGTAAGAAGAGCAAGAATTTAAAGAGGAATCTGAAGTGGTTCTTTTTTATGCATCTATTATGCCCTTGTATGTTTTATATATTAACATTTAAATCCCACAATACTCTGATCGAATCTACATTTCACAGATGAGGGAACTAAGTTAAATGACCTGCTGAAGGTAAATACGTGAGGGACAGAATTCAGAATATAATCTGTCTGCAGAACCCATTACTCTTTACAATTCATGCTGCAGCCTGAAAGATTTGGGGTTTTTTTTTTTTCCTTTGAAAAATGATTTGTCCCCAACAGCATTCACTGACCATGGCAAACTTTAATTGATCTTTCCATGCTACAGCCTACCTATTATCCACAAGGAATAGCAATAGTTAAAAACCCTTCTTTGTAATTAAGTCTTGGTTCCCTTAACAACTCCACCATGTAATTAAACTTATTTCTCCAACAGGCAGATATGGTTCACTAAAGAATCTGAGAGGAGTTTTTTTTCAAATTATGCTGTTTCTTGTTCATGGTTAACCATGGTCAAGTCTGGGCTTGGAACTGAAGGATAGGAAGAATGTAGAGAATGCTGCTGGTCCAGAACTCACCAGAGCTGGAGCTGTATGAGGTGCCTTTCCTGTGCAACATATGAAACTTCTAACTTATTTCTGCTCATTGTTTTCCTCGATGAATGTATTGGGTAAAAACACAGGTTGCTGAAAATTTCTTTTTTCTTGGAGCAGCCTCTATTAATGTAGGCAGCAAATCTCATAGTTATTAATCATCAGAAATGGAAAGTGTTTCTTTTTGAAAGGTGTAACTATCAGAGGTCTCATAATGTCTTAAATAAGATATATTTGCCATTATCAGTACATTCTGTGACTATCCTGTGGGAAAAAAAAATTTCCTTACACAGTAGCTTAGGGACTATGTTTTTTTTCCCCCTTCAGCTAAAATTTAGCTTAGCACAAGGCACTGAAAATATAGGGTAATATTAAATAGTTAAATTACATACTCAGTTATAGCACAGAGTGAGAAGGGGACCCCTCCAGGAATTTAATATCTTTGTGAATCTATGAAATTCTAAATTTACAAATTCCAGTCAAATAAAAAACTAAGTTGTAGCTAAAAGTTCCTTTGAGTTAAAAGTCATTAAACAAAAAGAAGATAATAGGCAAGATCATTTGGGCCTAGAAACCAAATAAAATGCCAAAATAGAATACCAATGGGTTATAAAACAAACAAAACCGAATCCTCTCCCCCCATAGGTCAAAGGATCCAAAAACATTCTCTTAAGTTTGCGGTCTCCTAAAAGCAAGGATCCAAAAGTCAGGTACAAAGTACTGTGCACTTTCTTAACCTTACAATGGCTGCTCTGAAGGGACCCTATAGTAAGTATCAGGAAATCAGCACAACCTCTTTAAGAACGGGATGGGTCCAGATGTTGAAGATTATGGTCTCCTGAATGCAATGGAATTTATGCCAGGAGATTAAAGAGAAGAATTAATTTATGACTTTCTCTACCTGTTTGCAATATGTGCTCAGCTTATTATCTGAACACATTGTGATGCACAGTAATTACAACGCTGAAAATAATGTGCAGCATGTGACTGGTTAAGTTTAAGAAGGGGGCATTTGTCATATTTTAGTTCACACATCTGGTTCTACCATGTTTACCCAACGATTCATATAGGAATATATTACAGTGAAATCCTTTCATATCAGTTTTATTTACTAGGAAATAGAACACTTTTCCTTCATCTCTCTCCCAACCTCTCCCTGAACTCAAAATTCCAGCACTGAGTTCATCTGAGTGAGGAGAAGAGTATGAGCTCTTCTTGTCTTTGTTGAATTCTGTAAGTTCCAGTCACAAATGGAGTGGATATGCATCCTTTGTTTTAAAAGCACATCCACAAGGGAAATAGCTTAAAGCTTATTCTGAAAGCAGATGGGGCATCAGATACCTCAAACATATAAAACCACAGGAATTAAAATTCTAAATTTTAAACTCCCTTTTATTGAAATATAAGTTTGTTTAGTATATTTACACCACAATTTATGCACATATATACATAGAAGGCAAATTCTATCAAATAAAAAAGTTTTTCTTAATAAAAAATTAAAATAAAACAAAGTAAAGTGCATGAAACTGTTTTTCCTTCTAGTGAACATCGTCATTGTCAAAATTTTGGTCAGTTGGGAGGGGCAGAAAGAAGCAATTCGTATTTGACTCAGTGCATTCATAGCCTTCAGGCCAAAACAGAGTTCAGAAATGAGTCAGACAAATTGTCAGGGTCTCCAGGACTCCCCAGGGTGTGGAGGTCTTGCTCTCTTTGTCCTATCGGGAGGGAGCTGTCCCCCTTCTCTGAACAGTGATCTCACCATCGCTGCGCTGGAACAAAGGCAGAACACAGGAAGGGGGCTCCACCAGCCAATGTCACAGCCTTGCTCCGGGGCCACCAGCACAGCGTTTGGTAGGAAATTGCAGAATTAGCTCAACCGCTCAAACGGAAGTTTTCCTTTTTTGGAAAGGGAGGGGGGATGTCCAAGAATGGGGTTCATCTCCCACAGAGACCGTCACCCGGGGAACAAACCCCAGCAGCCAGTTTCTTCGGATCCAGTCTCCGCTCCTGCACAGGAAAGAATCCTTTTATAAGCTGGGTGGAGGGAATGTTACACTTCTCGCCTCGGTGAGTTCGCCCTCTTAGAACTTTGAAAGGAAAAAAGCGAGGGATTAAAAAAAAAAAGAGGGCAGGTGGGTGAAGCATTAGTTTTTAAACACCTTTGCGCTCAGGTCACTGGCTGGGCGTTGGCCCAGCTGGTCCCAGCCGGTGGCAGGGGCGACAGCCCTTCCCCCATTCATCCACACCCCAGTCCCGCTTCTTCCTCTCTTCCTCAGGGTGACGCTAAGTCCCCGGCCGGCGGCCGTACTTGGCCTTGCAGTGCAAAATGTGCTTGGCGAGGAAGTCGAGGCGGCGCTGCAGTAGCTGAGCGTGGGGGTCGGCAAGCGCGGCCAGCTCCGGGAAGCGAGGCTCGTGGCGCCGGTAGAGGCGCAGTAGCCGGGCCGCCGCGTCCTGACCGCGGTGCAGCTCCAGGACGCGCCTCGCGGTCCGCTCGCGGAACACACACACCGACTGCAACAGCGGTTCGTTATACTTGTCCCACATGCCTGCCACCCGGTAGCCATGTACTAAGCCCGCCTCATTGTCCAGAAAGACCAGCGCCCCTCCGGGACCGCGGTGCAGGTTGCTCGTGGCGCGCTGCATAACGCGTGGGTCCCATTGCAGGCTGAAGAGGTTGCTTACAAGTCGGTCGAAGTTGGCCGTCAGGTAGTCGAAGAGGATCAGGTCGGTCCATTGCACCAGGTCCACCAGTTCCGCTTGGCTGAGGTTGGCCAGCTCGCCCCCCGCGTCGCGCAGGGGCCGCAGACGGCCGTCCTCTGAGCGCCAGGGCGCTGGCACCACCACGTCTGTGAGGTTGGGCAGCCAGCGCGTCAGGCTCACCACGCTGCCCTCCGTCCAGTGCGCGGCGCGCAGTTCCTCCTGCACCTGCGCCCACTGAGCGCCCCGAGCCTCCACCCGAGCTAGCGCCAGCGGTGGCACGTGGCTCTGGAGGCCCAGAAGGCGCGCCAGGTAGTAGGACAGGGCCTCGCCCTGGATCTGCTC